TGAAGTAGTTGTTAACAAATTACTTAAATACAGGCTGTGAGAGCAGAACCAGCAGCAGTTAAAAAAATTAATCCATCACAACTGAGATTAGAAATCACAACATTTATTTTCCCAGGCACAGATTCCAAACCAAAAGCTGTTGATGTGCATGAATTAATTGGAAATGTATTCGGAGAGTATTGAAATAGATTGCAAAAACTTATCACCTCAGAAGCAATGAGGCCCTGGTGAGCTCGGCCCACTGTGAGTTGCAGTTTGTAGGGAATCTGGAGTTTTCCTTAAAGATTGAGGTGATGTTTAAACATTAATGTGTAAATTGTGCACTACCTGGGAAGGACCAGACTTCACAAAGCTTTTGATCATGAGATCTTATCAAATAGGTAAACCTTAATCTCAGGCAATGTGCCTGTGGTTGAAATATTTATTTGTTCAACTAGTCACTCCGTAGAAGTGCCGAACAAGAGAGCTGTTTTTGAAGTCTTTCATCTTGCAGTCATCAGGACAGGCAGAACAATACCATTGCTCAAAAGGGATGAACAATTTACACTTTATGAGAAAAGAGCACTGGTCAGTTGCTAAGTGGCCTCTGATTCGTGTAGGTTCTGCCATGGAGATGGTGCCCTGGGGGATGGTGCCCTGCAGGGGTTGACTGTGAGCCACATATAAAGACACCGATGCAGCAACTGAAGGCTTGATTAACATGGCAAATTTCATGGAGTATGTTAAAGGAGGTGAACAAGGTGGCAAAAGGAGACAAATCCCAATGCCCCACCCAACCATCAACTTCATTATCTCCTGGGAGAGCCAAAATAATCCAAGTCTAATCTGGAAAACACCTCTCCAAATCCATCAGGCAATCAAAACCTTTCCAGGGTATAACAGGGTGATCAACTCAAACATGATCTCAAGAGGAATCCTCTGTTGTAATCTAGTAGGGTCTGGAAGGGGTACCTGACATAGGATGGACAGGAGATCGGTTAGGACTGGCTGTTCAAAAACCCAGAGACCTGGGTTCAAATCCCAACAAAGCAGAGGGCACATTGCAAAGGATTGAAAGTCCAATGATGACCGGAACATTATTGTTGAAAACCAAAAGGAAATCATCTGTCTTTGCCTGGCCTACATGTGACTGCTGCTCACGGAAATGGCCAAGCAAGCCACTCAGTTGGATCAATCACTAAAAAGCCTTAACAGAGAAATGAAAACAAATGGACCAACTGGCATTGACCTCAGCACCCTCAAAGACAATGGCAGAAACAGCCCTGTCGATTCTGCAAAGTCCTCTTCACTAACATCTGGGGGTCAGTGCCAAAATTGGGAGAGCTGTCTCACAGACTAGTCAAACAACAGCATGGCATAGTCTACTCACAGAATCATACCTTACAGGCAATGTCCCAGACACCACCATCACCATCCCTGGATATGTCCTGTCTCACCAGCAGGACAGACCCAGCAGAGGGTCTGTTGGGAGTGTATTGACCAGTGAATCCTCAGCATTGGCTCTGGACCACATGAAGTCTCATGGCTTCAGGTTAAACATGGGCAAGGAAACCTCCTGCTGATTACCACATACTGTCCTCCCTCAGCTGATGAATTGGTACTCTCCATGTTGTACAACACTTGGAGGAAGCATTGAGATGCCAAGAGCATAAAATGTACTCTGGATGGGGAATTTCAATGTCCATCACCAAGAGGGGCTCGGCAGCAGTAATACTGACTGCGCTGGTCGGGTCCTAAATGACATAGCTGCTAGACTGGGTCTGCGGCAGGTGGGGAGGGAACCAATAAGAGGGAAAAACATACTTGACCTCATCCTTACCAATCTGCCAGCTACAGTTCCATCTATCCATGACAGTATCGGTAAGAGTGACCATTGCACAGTCCTTGTGGGGACAAAGTCCCACCTTCACATTGAGAATAACCTCCATTGTGTGGTGTGGCACTATCACTGAGCTAAATGGGACAGACTTCGCACAGATCTAGCAACTCAAGAGTGGGCATCCATGAGGCGCTGTGGGCCATCAACAGCAGCAGTAGAAACAATCCCACGACCAACGTGTGCATCCTGCCACAAATAGTTTTAAACAGCGGTGAACATTGAAGGAACTCACTGAAGGGGGAGGTTCCACAAACACCCCTCATCTCAATGGTGGGAGAGCTTAGTACATCAGTGTAACAGATAAGGCTGAAGCTTTCGCAGCAGTCTTCAGCCAGAAGTGCCGAGTGGATGATCCATCTCGGCCTCCTCCAGTGGTCCCCAGCATTACAGATACCAGTCTTCAGCCAATTTGATTCACTCCACGTGATATCAAGAAATGGGTGGAGACACTCAATATTGCAAAGGCTATGGGTCCTGAAAACATTCCAGCAATAGTGTTGAAGACTTGTGCTCCAGAACTTCCCGCTCCCCTAGTACAGTTACAACACTGGGATCTGCCCGACAATGTGGAAAATTGCCCAGGTACACAAAAAGCAGGACAAATCCAACCCGGCCAATTACCACACCATCAGTCTACCATTGATCATCACTCATCTAGATGGAGCACAGTTATCAACGGTGCTATCAAGCATCTGCTCAGCATCAACCTGCTCAGCGACGTCCAGTTTGTGTTCCGCCAGGGCCACTCAGTTCCTGACCTCATTACAGTCTTGGTTCAAACATGGACAAAAGAGCTGAATTTCAGAAGTAAGGTGAGAGTGACAGGCCTTGACATCAAGGCTGCATTCGACCAAGTGTGGCATCAAGGACCCTAAGCAAAAATGGAGTCAATTGGAATTAGGAGGCAAACTCTCCGCTGTTTGGAGTAATACCTGGCAGATAGGAATATGGGTGTGGCTGCTGGAGGTCAGTCATCTCAGCTCCAAGATATCTCTGCAGGAGTTCCTCAGGGACTTAGCATTTTTAACTGCTTCATCAATGACTTTCCCTCCATCATAAGGTCAGAAGTGGAGTGTTTGCCAATGATTGTACACCATTCACAATTCCTCAGATATTGAAGCAGTCCATGTTCAAAGGCCTGGATGATTTCAAGGTCTGGACTGACAAGTGGCAAGTAACATTCATGCCACACAAATGCCAGGCAATGACCATCACCAATAAGAGACAATTTAACCACCATCCTTTGACATTCAATGGTGTTACCATCACTGAATCTCCCAGTATCAACATCCTGGGGATTACCATTGACCAGAAACTGAATTGGGCTCATTGTAAAACTACAGTGGCTGCAAGACCAGGTTAGAGACTAGGAAGCTGCAGTAAATAACTCACCGCCTGACTCCTCATTGTTATCATTTGAGTTTCAATTCCACATTCTTTGAATTCCAGTTCTACTATCTGAGTCAGTCTCTGGAATACTAGTCCATTGACAATACAACGTTACGGTGGGTCATTTTAAGAAATAAAATCTCTAACACTACCATTCCTCCTCATAAACTATGGAGTGTAAATTAATAATATTTAACACCGAAACAGATAAGAATGTCATGTAAGGACTTTTGGACTCATGGACCAACCTCATGTTTATATCATGGAGTTGTTCCCCATTGGCCATACATAGCACAGCGTGGGCAGAGTTAAAATGATAGATTAGAAGACAGATATATATGAGTTTGATAGGGTAAAGCACAGTGTAAGAGAAAGTCTTTCAATAACAAAGCAGTAAACTTACAGCCTGGTACACCTCGGGTTACTATGTTAAATATTAGTTAGGACTAATGTGAAACAAAAATATTTCTAAGGAAGGCTACAGCTGAAAATGGTTCGTAACCCTCCCTTTTCCTCGACCAGTCTGTCTTGAACCCAAATTCTTAGATATGTGCAGAAAAATCACATTGCAAAAGAGAAGAGATATTCGGACAAGTGACTAAAATCTGGGTCAAAAAGATATTTAAAGGAGTGACTTAAAGGAGGACATGGAGATGGAAAGGAGACAAGATTTCTGAAGAAGGGTCTAGGCCCGAAACGTCAGCCTTCCTGCTCCTCTGATGCTGCTTGGCCTGCTGTGTTCATCCAGCTCTATACCTTGTTATCTCAGATTCTCCAGCATCTGCAGTTCCTACTATCTCTGAAAAGATATTAATCTGCAGTTTAAGGCCTAAGCAGCTGAAGGCAATGGTTGTCATTTAATTCCAATCTTACACTCTATCACAAGCCTGACTTTTTGTTCAAACCTAATGCTGCCTGAGGTGTAGAGTATTTCCAACATAATCAGTTTCTATTTCAGATTACCAGCATCTACACTATTTTGCTTCTGTTAATAAAAAAATCTGTATGTATATTTGTTATTGTTTAAAAAGTTCTTAAGGTCGTGGTAATAGTTGTCCTTGTTGTTTCTTCATTCGTGGGACGAGTGTGGCCAGCTGGACCGCCACTTATTGCCCATCCCTAGTTGCCCTTGAGAAGGTAATGATTTGCCTTCTTGAAGTCCACATGGTGTAGGCACACCCACGATTCCGTTGGGAAGGGACTTCCAGGATTTGGACCCAGTGACACTGAAGGAGCAATGGTATAGTGCCAAGTCAGGATGCTGTATTGATGTTAGTGAAAGAATAGATTGAGGCTTTCAAAAGGGCATGACTATTTAGACAGAAATAGCCCACCAGCGCCGTGCTATTTATGCCCAGTGAGGAGCAACTCCATGATATAATCAAAAGGTTGCTCCAGGAGTCCAAAAGCCCTTACACAACATCCTTAACTGTCTTAGTGTTAAATATTATTCATTTACACTGTATAATTCAAGAGGGGACAATGGGGAAAAGCCACGAGGTGATACAACCTGTGCAGGTTCGATGGGCCAAGTGGCCTCCTTATGTTCCTTAACAATTCTTTGATTCTGTGTGAAGCTCGGAGAGAAGCTTGCATGTGCTCATGTTCCCATTGTGCATAGACTGAGCCAGAGTTTAATAAGACCTGCTGACTGAGGTCAGGATGTCTCTTAAGGTAGAGTGGGATGTAGTGTGGGACTCTCGCACTAATGTTCACATTGTTTTCTTCACAGGCAATGGTGAGGAGTAACAGGGGCACGGTTGGAGGCTTCTTCCTCGCGAGCAGGAGCATGATATGGTGGCCGGTAAGAAGGTTTGATCTCAATCATTAACATTGTGATGATGGAAATTGTGACATGGCCTGGGACAGAGAGAGAGAGAGACGAAAAAACATCACCCTGGGACAGAGAGAGAGAGAGAGAGAGGTGGGGAGAGAGAGAGAGAGAGAGAGGTGGGGAGGGAAAGAGAGAGAAAGAGACAGAGAGAGAGAGGTGGGGAGAGAAAGAGAGAGAAAGAGAGAGAGAGAGTAACATCACCCTGGGACAGAGAGAGATAGACCCTAACTTTAACCCTCGATTCCTTGACTGATCAAGAATCTATCAATCTCAGCCTTAAATATAGACAAGAACTTTGCCCCCACAGCTGTCTGTAGCAAGGAGCTCCAAAGACTGTCAACACTCTGAGAGCAGAGATTCCTCCTCATTTCAGTCTTCAACTAGTGTGCCTTAATTCTGAGACTACCCACTCTGGTCCTGGACTCTCCCATGAGGGGAAACATCCCCCACAGCATTTACCCTGTCCAGTCCCTTAAGAACCCTGTATGTTTCAATGGATCACCTTTCATTCTTCCAAACTCCAGTGAGTAGAGTCCCAACCTGTTTAGCCTTTGCTATAAGACAATGTCTCCATACCAGGGATCATCCTGGTGAACCTTCTCTAAACTGCCTCTGATGAAATACCTTTCCTTAAATAAGGGGACCAAAACTGCTCACAGCACTCCTGTTCTGAGGAAGGGTCACCGGATCCGAAACGTTAACTTTGATTTTTTCTTCGCAGATGCTGCCAGACCTGCTGAGATTTTCCAGCAACTTCTGTTTTTGTTCCTGATTTACAGCATCTGCAGGTCTTTCGGTTTTTTTTTACACAGTACTCCAGATGTGATCTCACCAGCACCTTGTACAGTTACAGTAAGACTTCCCTACCCTTATACTTTAAACCCCTTGAAATAAGGCCCCACATTCCCTGGGCCTTCCTGATTCCCTGCTGCCCCTGTGTGCTAGCTTTCTGTGTTTCATGCACAAGTCTCTCCAAAGTCTCTTTGTGTTGCAGCTTTCTGCAGATTTTCTCCATTTAAGTAATATTCTGTTCCTTTGTTCTCCTTTCCAAAATTAACAACTTCATATTTTCCCACATTATACTCCATTTGCCAACTTCCTTCCCCAGTTACATAGCCTATCAATATCTCTCTGTAAACTGTATCCCCTCTGCAACTTGCCTTTCCACCTACTTTTGTGTCTTTTGCAAATCTGACTACAGTACATTCACTTCCTTCCTCCAACTCATTAATATAGTGCAGTCCCAGCACTGATCCCTGTGGAACCCCACTGGCTACAGGTCGCCAAACTGAAAAAAAAACTCTTATCCCCACTAGCTGTTTCCTGTGCATTAGCCAATTCCCTATCCACGTCAATATATACCTGGTTCTGCAATGGCTAAATCTAAACAAGCACCATCCTTTGTTTAAATAGCTTAAATTTAGATAGGGCACCTGTGGCCTTCCAATTTATGCTGGAGAAGTAGGTATCCATCTTCCTTATATACCCTATCTTTTGCAATTATTATTGGAGTGTGGGATCTTATAGTAGAAGGGCAACATGGTTATTTTATGTGGAAAATCAGCAATGCAGTTGCTAAATGTTTTGTGCTTTTTTAAATAAAAACCTACCTGTGCTGTTTTGGGCTATGGCTCAAGCTTTTAGCTTCATGTACAATTTGTTTCCTTTTTGCCCAATTCCACCCTTGGATGACTGTGTGGAGTTTGCAAATTCTCCCCCTGTCTGCGTGGGTTTCCTCTGGGTGTTCCCCAGTTTCCTCCCACACTCTGCAGGTTATATGGATTAGCTGTGGTAAATGCAGGGTTAGAGGGATAGGATAGGGGAGTGGGTCTGGGTGGGATGCTCTTTGGAGGCTCATGGACTTGATGGGCTGAATGGTCTGCTTCCAGTCTGTAGGGATTCTACAAACTGCTTCATGTCTGATTTTGCGATTCCCATCAGAGATTGAGGAATTTTCCCAGCAGTGTACAAGCTGATGGGGTTAGTATATTCGTGAAATCCTGCTTCAAGTTTCCTAAATCTTGGAATTGTTTTGGAAATTTTTGTCAACATTCTCTCCCATCTCCATGCTGAAGCATTGTATTTCAAAGACTTCGATAAATACATGCATTTCTGCTGAACAATGGGGCATTCTGATTCCTCAGTAAATAGAGCGTCACACTGATATTTCATCCTATCTGACTAAGCTGTGTGATTATTTGCCAATAACACCTTGAAGACGTGTACCTTCTGGTCTCTGAAGTTTAATATTTGCTGGTGTGACTCTCAGATTTCAACTGCTCTCCGTCATTATTGAAACAATTCCTCCTTTGTTGAACTTGAATTCTGTTTCAAAGCCTTGTACCTTCAGGTTCAGAGCCTGTTTTCACTCTTTGATCTCCTCTAGGACTGCTGCCTTCACCTTTTGTTCTCTATCTTTAATTCTTCTGGAGTACAGTGTCCAGTTCTGATTGCCCTCTTATAGAAAGGATATTATTAAGCTGGAAAGGTTTCAGAAGAGATTCACCAGAATGATGTGGGAATTGAGGGTTTGAGTTATAAAGAAAGGCTGGATAGCTGGGACATTTTTCACTGGAGTGTAGGAGGTTGAGTGGTGACCTTATAGAGGTTTATAAAATCATGAGGGGTACAGATAAGATGAATGACAAGGGTCTTTTCCCTAGGTTGGGGGATTCACGGCTAGGGGACATCTTTTTAACGTGAAAGGAGAAAGATTTAAAAAAGACATGGGGGCAACTTTTTTACACAGAGAGTGGTTTGTGTATGGAATGATCTGCCAGAGGAAGTGGTGGATGCGGGTACAGTTACAATGTTTAGAAGACATTTGGATAAGTGAATAGGAAAGGTTTGGAGGGATATGGGCCAGGAGCAGGCAGGTGGGACTAGTTTAGTTTGGGATTATGTTTGGTGTGGACTGGTTGGATAGAAGGTTCTGCTTCAATGCTGTATGACTCTATTACTCTTCAACTTTTTGTGCCTTTTTTGTTACCTGCTTTGCATTTCTCTGGAAATGTTCCTTTTGAAACATCCTTCCTTTGTTTTCGAGGTAATGAAGGTACTGTTAACTTACGATATTCTCAAAAGTGTCCAAACATACAGCACTCAGATTCCTACACCCTGCTGGACATCGAGGCATGTGTAATTCTGTTTGGAGTCACATTTTGTACACCCTAAGATGACCCTCGACATCCATTCCCTCTCTTTTGGAACACTGATGGACTTCCAAGAGAGTGACCATCCTGAGGCCTACCCATCCAATCGTGTCAGAAGAATCCTCGATGTCTTCTCACAAAACTGCCCAAATTTAGGCCCTGATTTCTGCCCGTGTAGAGAAGTGATTGTCTGCTCGAACATTAACTCCTTTTTTGATTGAACAAAGTCTGATAACTTCGCCTCTCTCACATCGACTTCTCTACAGCCTCTAACAAGTTCATCCTTCAAACCTCTGTAACCATAACAGCCTGCCCAATGACAATAAATCCATTACAAAGGCTTCGATTGGTTTTCCCATACACAATGATTGCTGATTAAATCTTGCCTGATTTGTCACTAAGTTTTTATTGTGGCTAAGTTATATGTCAGATGTTTTAATGAATGCATCATACCCTGTAGTGCTTGTTTCCATGCTTTGTCTGGGGAGAACATTATTAGCTATTGGACCTACAGCATGTAAAACATGCAGATGTCAACCTCCAGCCTTGTTTTGGGCCTTCCTCATTATCAAATAATTGGGGCAATGGCAAGGTTTTTACTGGTGCTGCTATCCCTACAGACCATTGTATTTGACTTGGGGGAGTGTTTGGCTTTTCCCTTATTATCCGGGATTGCTGCTGGTTTGTGCCTAGGCTTTGAAGTCTTTCAAAGTTCCTGTTTTCCCACCTGCCAGAGTCTTCTTGCTTGGTTACCCTGTAATCAAGGTCTTAAAAGGTCTTCTCCTGCCTTTGGAGTTTTCCCTTCACGGCTATGTTCTCTGCATTGTGTTTTAACTTTGAACCTGGCCACCATGTACTCTAAGCAAATACTGATACCTGATCATTGAGATACAGATCATCTCTGGGCCGCACATGGCTGCAGAGACATTATCCCCTAGACTGCTTGCTCCTTATCAGTCAGTAAGGCTCTTAACTTCATAACTGCTTACGTACTGTAGCACTCCTTTATTTACAACTGCATATACCGGGTACTCAAATACAGCTCTCGAAGAGAGTGTCTAAATTTAACATTTAATATAGGCCAGATGTATCAGATACAAAAATACTTCAAATGTTGATACTAATTCACAAACTGAACAAACAAATATTCTATTAAAAGTCAGAAAAGTGAATGTGAGGAATGTCAGATCAGCCGTGAGCCCATTGAATGGTGCAAAATGGCCTCTTCTTATTTGTATTTCTTATGGGTTGTAGCCAATAGGACCTAGAGCTGATGACATAACATAAAAGCAGGTACATACTTTTAAAGAAGTTCCTCAAGATTTTGACATTCACTTTAGTTTGAGAACCAATAAAATGCTTGAAAAGCGCAAGATTTAAGAAAAGAGTTCAACTTCTTGTGGAACCCAAAGATAATTTCAGCCATGATCTCTACAGATTAATGGAAAACTGTGACCCTAGAGCTTTGAAATCAAAATTCATAAGAGATAGAATTGCTGCTGGAATTTATTGATGAGCCTTTGTCAGATTTATTACAGTCCAAAGAAGATTTGGCTTTGGAGAATGCCATTCAGATTGTAGTGTAAGCAGAAAGTAGGAAGAATCATTGACAGAGCCTGAGAGTAGAAGGACAACTTTATCACAAGAGGACAACAGAACCTATCGACTTTATAAGTTATAAACACCCTGCAGATGCACAAACAAACCAATACAAATATTAAGCTAACCAGCAGATCCAAGAGTCAATGTCAGCGCTATAGAACAAAAACTTTAAGACTTAAGTCTAAGATTTTAAGACTGACATAGAATTAAGTGTTT